CCTGTGGCAAGTGCAGCCGGGCTGATGGCCGAGTGCTGTGATGTTCCAAGTGTGGGCACTCCGGGAAATCCAAGGCAGGACTGCTTTGCAAGCGGGGCACCCTGAGAACTGTCTGTCCGGGGTGGGGGTCGGGACCCTTTAAGCGCAGCCCTCGGCTAGCCTGAGACAGCATCTCCACGCTCTAAGTCCTCCTCTGATGCCCTGCCGGCACTGCTTCCGGCCATCCTTAACCCCGCTTCTGGGTCCACTTAATGTGGACGCGCTAGTTCCAATTAGCAAAAAGCTAATTCGAACTAGTTTTTAGTTCTAGATGTGTTAGTTCAAATTAGCTTAGTTCGAATTAATTAATTCGAACTAAGTTAGTTCGGCTAGGGGTGCAAGTGTAGACATACCCTGAGTTCCTGGAGCTGAGAGCCAGATGGAAGGAGCAAGCTCATTTAAAGCGATTTGGGGCTGTAGCAGGCAAGGAGCCCAGCCTGCCCTGGGGGTGCTGCTGAGGAAGTAGGTTTTGCTCACAAAAGGTCATGGGTTCTGTATATATTTTTGTTAGTCTCTCAGGTGCTACAGGACTACTTGTTTTTCTATACTTTTATCTGCCTCCAAGTCAGAATCTGCCTCTGGCACCCCTGCCCCTCCTGCACCCCACTGCCCCAGGTCACAACTCCCTCCCAGACCTCACACCGTCTTCTGCATCCTAGCACTAATTATTGCCCACCCCTGGTTTGAGGGGTAGCTGTGTTGGTTTGTAACTTAAAAAAAAAAAAAAAAAAAGGGTAGTCCTGTAGCACCTGAGGGTATGTCTACACTTGCACCCTAGTTCGGACGAGGGATGCAAAGGCAGGCATTAGAAATTGCTAATGAAGCGGGGATTTAAATATCCCACGCTTCATTAGCAAGAATTCGCTAGCGCGCTAGTTCAAATCACAGCTGACTCGAAAGTGAAAGTGCGCACCGGGATGCGTTAGTTCGAACCAAACCCCTTGGTTCGAACCAAGGCATTTGTTTCGAACTAATGTGTCCCGGCGGGCACTTTCACATTCGAGTCAGCTGTGATTCGAGCTAGCGCGCCAGTGAGATCTTGCTAATGAAGCGTGGGATATTTAAATCCCCGCTTCATTAGCAATTTCTAATGCCTGCCTTTGCATCCCTCGTCCGAGCTAGGGGTGCAAGTGTAGACATACCCTGAGAGACTAACAAATATATAGTATCATGAGCTTTTGTGGGCAGATGAGGAAGTAGGTTTTGCTCACAAAAGGTCATGGGTTCTGTATATATTTTTGTTAGTCTCTCAGGTGCTACAGGACTACTTGTTTTTCTATACTTTTATGAACATTCGCGTTAAAACCCATTTGATATAAAAAAACCTTCCTTACCTGTGATACCAATAATACCTAAAATGTTAAGACTTTTAGTTCAGTAGTTTAACTGTTTCCTCTTGTTTACAGCTTTCACAGTTTCTGTTGATATTTTTAAAGCATTTAGAAACATTTCTGTTAGGTGTTGTAAAAGTGTCTTTTTTTACATAATCTAAATTTGGTTTTATATTGGTGCTAATCTATGTGGATAGGGCCTTAATTTTCACTCCATGGTCAAATCTGCACTTTGTAGTGTACTTTCCAGTGCTTTTGAGTTTTTATACGCAGCTGGGTGGGAGAGGGAAGTGCCAGTAGTGATCACCAGAGTAGGAGAAGATGAGTTCCTCTTTGTTCCTTGCAACTTCCCATCCCAGTTACCTCTGTGTACATCACTCTTTTTTGTTTTACAATGGTGAGCAATCTTGTTACCCAGATTCTGCAGAGCTCACGAATGCCACCTCTCAGCTCTATTTCCCCATATGTATTTTTTTCTAAACAACCTCCCATTATCTTTTTCATTTATTCTAAGGAAACCAACATAAACAATTTTCTATTTTTTTTTTATTTCTAAGTATGAGCCAGTGGCAGTGGATACAAACTGGCTTTCTGCGCTCTTTATAACGAAAATATGTTGGTGTATAGATAGCAGAGAAGTGATAATATTGAAATAATATGATCTGAACACGGGTCCCAGAGCAGTTTTTGTCATGGGAGTATATCTGCAGTTCTTTGTAAAGGTGATATTCTTTAATGTACTATAGTGTACGCTGTATTTCTACTTTGAACCAAAGCATAGCCCTACCTCTTTCAAAGTTCCTGTCATTCCATAAAGGTTGTTGGAACTTTACTTCCAATTATAGCAGCTGGAAAACTTGGATTGTTCAATGGCTTGTTTTCAGACGTCCTAGCCCTTAAATGTTAACAAGTGAGTTTAATTTAAAAAGCAAATAAAATGGTTTGATTATTCTATAAAAAACAGGTGTTACATCAGTATATTTTGGAGGGCAGAGTCAAACCTTTAGCTTAGTACAGCTGTGACATTTGTTGAATTTGGAACCTACTTTAATGTATGTCCTCTTATCTGTCTCTGCTAAACAACAATAGTTGTATCAGAGCAATACATCTTTTACATTGTTGGGGATTCCGAAGGCCGGGAAGAAGAGGGAAAATGTTTTAAACTTCCCACCTCCAAACATAACTAAATGCTAAATCTATTCAAAATCATCACAGTTAAAAAGAGCCATAAGACATCAGACTAAAACACACAGGTTGCATCTGCACTGGCATGATTTTGCAGAAATACTTTTAATGGAAAAGTTTTTCCGTTAAAAGTATTTCTGCAAAAGAGTGTCTAGATTGGCATGGATGCTTTTGCGCAAAAAGTGCTTTTGCGCAAAAGCATCTGTGTCCAGCATAGACGCGATTTTGCGCAAGAAAGCGCTGATGGCCATTTTAGCCATCGGGCTTTCTTGCGCAAAAAATTAAGGTGCCTGTCTACACTGGCCCTCTTGCGCAAGTATTCTTGTGCAAGAGGGCTTATCCCTGAGCGGGAGTATGAAAGTATTTGCGCAAGAAGCACTGATTTTGTACATTACAAAGTCAGTGCTCTTGCGCAAATTCAAGCGGCCAATGTAGACAGCTGGCAAGTTTTTGCACAAAAGTGACTGCTTTTGCGCAAAATCTTGCCAGTCTAGACGCACCCATGATGTGTTCTCTAATGAGAAGACCTTTTAGAATGAATTATTTTATTCCCTGTATTTCATATTTCAAGTCTAAGTTATGAATGGACTCTTTGTTACTTTTAACTGGATGTATTGACCATATATACTCTTTTGTGCTGCCATTTCTCAATTTCATAGATGTTTAATGCTTGGTGGTTTTATATTATAGGCTGACGTTATGAAAAAAGAGCTGAAAATCCAAGAAACAAGTAAAGGAAGGTATGCCTTTCAAATATTTAAATTTTTGTATTCACTATTCAAAAAGTGGCCTTCTGTGATGTATTTAGTCTACTACTTATTTCTTTCAAAAGTTATGTATACATGGCAAAAAACTGCAATCGGATCATTTAGAGATGTGCTAACTGTTACCTACTGCCACTTCCTTTTCAGTTCTTTGTCCTGTGTATCAAAATACATATACTTTCTTTACTTGCATAGAGATGTTTGTAAAATGTGAGTTTGCTTGAGAGTCTGGGGTCTCAATAAGCGTGAAGAAATCCTGGCCCTATTAAAGTCAATAGTTTTGTCATTAACTTAAACTGGTCCAGAATTTCACCCATGTGCTTAAGTTATGGTGGAAGAACATGTTGCTGAAAAAGCTCTAATTGTATTTGGTTATACCTATATTTGGTCTTTCAGTGTTGTCATTTATCAAGGCATAAGATCTGCTAGGTCTCTTTCCAGATGCTAAAACAAATTAGAGGAGGATTTTACTTCAGTGGTTCAATTTTCTAAACTTCATACTTCTGTCTGATATAGGCCGCTGACTAGATAATGGAAAACTGTTTTAGAGACTTTAACATCAGAATCCAGAAAAGGGAAATTCTTACTTTGTAATTCTTAGTAGAAATTTTGTTTTAAATGCACCTTGTATGCCCGAATGATTGTAAAATATCTAATTATGGAATAACTATTCATTGCTTCTAGAATAAAAAACAATGTTTTGCATATACTTTTAATCTGAAATGACAGAATATTACACCAAGTACTTCCTTTAGGTGGGAAAAGGGTAATTTTTGTCTTTAAGCTGTTTATTGTGACTCAGATCCACTTTCCATATTAGTGTGTGCGTGCTTGTGTGTGTGAGAGAGAGATTTAATCCACAGTGCTCTTTTAGTAGTGGTCTAAAAACTATAATGTGCACTATTATTCTGTACCATAATAGTGGTTTTATAAAACATTTTACGTAATGTCACACAACTAATAATGATGTAGTATTTTCAAAACATGGTTTCTTCCTCCTTTGTGCTCTTAATGATTATCTCATGGTTTACATGTCGTTTTTGAAAATAATATCAAGCTTTGAATGTAAAACAAAAATGTTAAGACAATCCTAAACTCATGAGTGGTGTTCAGAGCACATAGGAAATCAGAAGCATATGATCTACTTCTGGACTAATGGTTCTGAATTACACAAATACATATGTTCAGGTAACCTTACTGATTCCAGATTGATGGGTTCTAGATAAAGCTGCCTTACCAATTTAGCACAATACAAATGCATCTTATCCACATGAGTTGCAGATACTACACAAAGTAGTACTGTGGCTGGTGAACAAATGGACAAAATAAAGTTTTGATTATCAACTTCACCCTATATAGATTCCCTTTCAGCCTAGGAGGCACCTGTCTCCATGTTGGAGTGATCCTAATGTTCAGCTTTGTAAGCCTTTCTCACCAGGCCTGTTATCCTTTGAGATGTAATCACTATATAAGAAGCTGAAAATAAGATCATAATATGAGAAGAATACTGTTTTACAGTCATGCTTTCCTCCCTCCCCCGTGGAATTTTACTGGGGAGAGGAATGGGATGGGCTAACTTGGGCAGATAAGAAGGGACTGGTATTCCTGATTCCTGTGAATGGTCAAGATAATCTTAAAGAAGTCTTGGAATGTTTTTTAACATTTGATCATTATCCAGCATGAAGAAATGGTGTGAAGCCATTCACCTGACCTTCTGGCGGGGTGGTAAGCCACTGGTGTGGATAACCTGACTGTTTCTAATAATGAAGGTGGTGGTTTCCTTCAGCAAATGTAGTCAAGACTTTTCCTCTTCCAGGTTAAGATTCCGGAAGAATTGAAGATCAACCTGAAGTCTCTCTCTTAATCTGACATTAAAATGGAAAATGAAGGATTTGCCTCTATCACCTTGCATCCCTTATGGCACAGGCCTGCCCTTTTTTGGGTTGCTGGAGCTAACCTTTTCTTTGATCCCATTGCTATCTTCAGTGGATAGCTCTGACTGGGGATGGGTGTTCACCCAAATGAAGATGCAAGACTGGAGCAGCAGATATTTGTGGGTTTTACCCTTTATGCAAATAGCCTTCTGGTAGAGCAATATATCACTTCTTTCCCAAAGCAGAGCAGGACTTCCAAGTCCTTGCAGCCAGTATTTGCAGCCATCTTGATATTTGTGCCTGCCTCTCTCATCATTGACCTTACATTCTGGGCAAGGAAGCAGAACTATGTATCAGCCATTGCTATGAAAATCCAGTTTGACTGTCAGATTAATGCACTTGATGTTTTTTGGATACCACTGAGGAACTTCTCTCTTTGAGAGAGGTCTCACAGTTCTGAAGATTCAGACTGATCTCAGTAGTTTTCTGCAGCTGCGGTGTGTGTGCACTTGCTGCATTCACAGCGAGCAGTTGAAGATGCTAATAATGCATGTTCTTGCATTATTTGCTGCTATTTAGTAAGCTTGTTGTTTTTTCCATTCCTGGGAGAAACTGTGGAGAGATTCTCCACACTTGCAAATGCTGAGCTGCGTGCAGTTTGGCAGAGGAGATGGAGTTTCTTTGATCACAATCTCCATGCTTCCTAAATAGAGCTAGTCTTTCAGGACTGCCTTGTTTGGTGATGCTCCATCAAGTTCTCCTGATGAGTTTTACTATCTACAAACACTAGGCAAATGGTGTGGGGGCTATTATATGCTTGAATTGAAGGGAAATGTATTTGAAATGGATCTCGCTTTTGGAATATATAGGAGTCTTTAGTATTCAGAGACCTGTCTTTCCAAGGTTGTTAAATACCAGAGTGTCTTTGTTGTCATGACTGATCGGTGTTTTAATGTTTGTGACATGAGAAGCAGATTAGTTTTGTTTGGCCAAAAACTAATTGGAACACTGTCCTCCCAACCACTGATATTTGGACGTGACTGACTTAAAATGATTAAATTCTAATCACATTTTTGAAAGGAGAGTTTTATTTGAATGGGCAAGTGAGACAGGGTTTCTAACTCTTTTATGAGGTCTCCAGTATCTGTGAAGGCATGGGAGGAAACTCCCAAAATTTCATGCAGAAGCTGTTCAGAAACGCGCAGGATCCAATCCTCCGAGATTTTTCCTGCTGTACATTGGAATGTTATGAGCCTGCCACCTTTCGGGGGAAGACTGCAGCAGATCTCCTGTCGCAGATGGAAGCTGCTCGACTGTTGCTGCAAGTGTTTTTCCAATTCTCTGATGCATAAATGTAACATAGGTTACAACTGCTTAATTTATAGTGGTATTTGACCTTCTGCAAAAGAGCTAGCCCCACTCTCCCTTCCTCTCTTTAGTATATGTGGCAGATGAAGATGATGGTGCGAGGTGCACAGTAAGCTTTCAAAGCACATTAAAGTGTGCATCTTGATGTGCTAAGGTGATGGAGACTTACTTCTGATTTTTTTTTTTAAAGCTACTGTTGTCTTAATGTAGCCTTGCTTATCTTACCACATCACAGCTGGGCCTTCAGTGATCGATTCCATTTGAGTCAGCTTTGGACTTTCTTGATGTCAGCATGCCAGAAGCATTAACAGAATGGCATCCCTTAATGAAGTTTCATAGAGTTGTGCAAACTTTTGTATATACTTTGGATCTGAGAGACCACAGTAGAGATTCCACATCTTGATGCATATCCACTTATTAACCAGTTTTCTGTTTATCTTCTCTGGACTTGTCTTACATACATTTTATCACCTAACTAGAACATCGGAATTGATTGATTTATTAGCACTTTGCCATCTAGTTTTACATAATCTCAGGATGCCCACTTTCAGGACTTACGAAAAAGGTGGTTTAGACCTCTCCGGCTTCAGAGGTTTACAAGAATGTCTGTAGACAATGCTTTCTTTCAGAGAAAAATAATGTACTTGCCTGTAACTAACATTCTCTGAAAAGTGCTATCCTTTACCTTTGTCATCCTGGGCTTTTTTATCTTAGGAGCTGACAGTAAGCTTAAACAGATAAGATACAACATTGCAGAAAGGAGGCCTTGCCTGTGTGTGGCCTTTTCCACAATTTATAGCCAAGATCATTTCAGTTGAAAAGGAATCATATATCATTTATGAGTAGGATAGCTATTGTAGAGGATATTCTCTTCAAACATCACTCTTGGAGAGCTGAGCAATTTGCCACTTTTAGTCTAATTTTATATAGAAAAACTGATGGTTACATTTTCTGTGTGTATGTACACACAGTCTGTTCCACATCAGGAGATCCAAATTTAAGCTTGCTTGTCAGCTCTGAGGTCACAGAACACGTCTGCAGTGTATAGTACCTTCAGAGAAATCGAACTACAAGTAAGTAATGTAATTTGAATTATAAGAGGTCTTCAGTAGTGGCGTGGATTACACACAAATTGTAAGCTAATCAGATATTTGCCTCAATATTCTAACCATTTTAACGCTGATAGGCTAGATTTCCCAATGCTAAGCCACTAATGCATCAGGAAATCCCAACCATTGGCGTCAAGAGGTTACTGATAACTGTGGAATTCTCAACATAGTTTGATTTCTTTTGTTTTTTTTAAATACATTTAGCTCTGACTTGAAAAAAAACCCAGAGGGATCAGGAGTGGTGCAAACAGCAGCTGCTAATCCTCCAGTAGAACCTAGTGTGGCAAAGGAAGAAATCATTTCCAACTCTGTCAAAGCCGAGACTTCAGCAGTGCAGATAGAAGCCTCTGAGTTGGATCCTGAAAGAACGGTATGTGATTCTACTACAAAACCGTTGGAAGTTGAAACCTCCAAGGGGGAATCTGAAGTTGCAATTACTGGCTCTGCTACCAAACCAGATGATGACGAATTACCCCAAGTTAAATCAGAAGAGATTCATCGGAAGGAAGAGGTAGTTAAAGATAACTCTGAAATAGAATTATTGACATCTGCTCTCCCAACTGTAGAAGAGAAAGAAACTAAAGTGAAACTTGAAGAATTATAAGTGGAAACAGCAGAGGCTGTTTCTGAAGCAGTGCCATCTGATTCTGCTGCAGCTTCTGTGGAAATGCTGTCAGCTGATGACCTACAACCAAGCAACCAATTGGATATTTCTGTAAAAAATGCTGTTAGTGATGCAGTGGAAACGAAACTTGAAATACCTGTGGCCAATGTCGTGGTGTCCTTAGAGAAGCCAGAAAAGCCAGCGGCCAAAGTTGGGGCAGCCCTGGAGAAGAAATTGGAAAAGTCCGTGGCTAAGATAGGGACAGCCATAGAGAAGAAACTGGAGAAGCCTGTCGCCAGCATTGGGATGGACAGAGAGAAGAAATCTGAAAAGCCGGTGGCCAACGTTGGGACAGATGTAGAGAAGAAACCTGAAAAATCTGTGGCCGACATTGGAACAGACATAGAGAATACTGAAAAAAAAGTGCTAAATGAAAAGAATGAGAAAACGTCAATCAAGGTTCATCAAAATAAAGGACCAGGACAAGTTAAAATAGATGAAACTAGCAAAGCAAGTACATCAGCTGCAACATTTGTGTCCATCAAGGAACCTACGTCTGTTAGTAAAACAATCTTAAAGGCTGTGGTGTCCATCCCTGATATATCAAAGTCAAGAGTTATGATGCGGAGAAATGAGACTTCTCTAATTAAAACAGAGGAGCAGAAAGCTTCCTCAAAACCTGAAACCAGAAGCCGATCTGCTACTGAGAAGAAACTTTCATCAAAAGAAGTGGGGCAGCTAAGAGCTACTGGCAGCAGATCAAGTCTGCCAGATAGCGCCAAATCTAAACTGGACATGAGTCCTGTTGTTGTAAAGGGAGGAAGTGGGAGGAGTCCATCTCAGCAAGACAAGGACTCAAGAGTGGAATCTAGGGGTAGTTCAAAGCAGTCTCAAGAGAGAGAGAGTAGATCATCCAGCATGAAGAAAGACGACAACAGCAATAAGGTGAGAAGGGAAGAAAGGCTGGTTCAATGTGACTGACCAGTAACTAACTCTGATGTTTCTCCCAGATGTTGAATATGAGACAGATTATATTCCCCTTCCCCTTTTCTGTAAACTGTTGCAGTGATTTGGGCCAACAGAGAAGTTGGAGTAGCAGGATGGCAAGCCACCTGTTGTGTTCAACTCAAGTATGTAACTGGTTTGAAAATGTTACTTGGATAAAATTGCGGGAAGATAACTTCTGTAAGCAGGTCTGTACTGAGTGTCATAACTTTATGTTCTTGGTATAGTTCTGAATTGAAAAGAAGTTTTCTCTCCTTTTGTGAGCTGATGCTTCCTTTGTCAAGTCCTAGCTTACCCTGCACAGGCTCGGGTGGCTGAAAGGTGAACAGATAGCTGAACAAGACATTACTGATGACTTGATACTAGAGACTATATGCCTGGACTTAGAGTTGGTGGTTGGCTTAGTTCTGTACTTGCCAATCATCTAATCAAATGCCTCATCTGGACTATTTAAAGAGAACTTCATTAAGGGAAAAAGTTGTTTCTGACAAGTGATTGATTGGCTAACTTGTTTCATTAAATTTTTGTCTAATTTTGCAGGTTCCCGCTGGCCGAATTAGTAGGAATTCTAAAACTGGCTCTAGTGACAGTGTAAAACCAAAAGAGGTAAGGACCCAATACAATAACGATTTTAAGGCTAAACTTACTTCATCTCTTCAGAGCTCCTGCTTAGTGGGTTTTAATGGATTTTTCAGGATACAGTTTTTTATACTTTTTATTAGTTGTTTGTAAAGTGTGTCCATCTTGGGAAAAGAAAAACTTGGTTTCCTGTTTCATGAATATAAAAAGCTTAACTTGCTTTGAATATGGTAATGTTTAGGTCCCAGATTTTGCCTGCTTCAAAAAGGAGTCAAAATTTGCCTTAGATCTTTTCCTTGCAATACTGGTGATGAGATATGGGATAAGAATGACAGAGACAATCGTCCCAGCTCCTCTCTCAAATAACTGGTGTGATGGGAGGTTTAAAACCAGCCATAATTACAGTGTCTCTCCCATAAAAAATAATTTGTGTTCTCTCTGCTGGAGAGAGAATATTTACATTCCTGTTGTACCATTGATTGAAATAAGGGGTTAGCAGGGATAGGCTTTTATAGTTTTTAAAGGCAGCTGAGTTGAAGAAGCCTAAATTTATGATTGTCCCTCTGTTTCATATTGTTTGGGAAAGGGGGAAGAGTTGGCAGGAAGGTGAGGAGAGGGGAGAAGTCGCACTTGTTCAATACTAGGTGCTTCCCTTGCTTGTGGTAAAATAGATTTTGATTGACACTATTTCCAGAGCTGTGCTAAAATAATCACTAAGATTAATATAGATGCTGCAAATTGAAAAATACACCGTAGATGTGGAAAATCCAGTTACAGATTAGTGGCTGTTGATTTATACTTTTTAAAACCTTCCTACCGCTACGTTAAAAATTTAAATCCTTTAAATTAACAGCCTCAGCAGGGGTAGTTGTCAGACCCGATGCAAGTTGGGACTGAGCTTGCCTGCCTGCCTGCTTGGCTCTGAAGCTTCTTTAAATGCAGAACCACTTATTGGTTAATCCTGTAACCACCAAATTTTAGTTGGCTACACAATTACCAAATTACCCGCTTCCTAACATCACTAGTTTTTAGTGCTTATTGCCTGCAAAATTTGAAACAATGAGCTACAATAATTACAAGTTCCAAAGAAGTCATGTAAGAAAGTGACAGTATTATCTTTTCCTTTCTTAAAATGACATGTGACATTACAGGTCGGTCAGTTCTTTGTGCTGGTAATTAGATTTTTGCCAGGTCTTCCAAAAAATAAGACATAATGGTCTTTTCATAGCTATGGTGTTTGATAGGGAAGAGATAGGCCCAAAGCAACTTGACTAACTTGTTCTATGAACAAGTTTTCAACTCTCCATGTGCAACTGTCAAAGTTAGCATAATGACAGCTTTGGCAGAATTCACCGATTTTCTTTTTTTGCTTATACAGCACATTTGATGCCAAATTTGGAGCCAGGAGGATGGAATCTTTTTTTATTTACATAACACTTTCAGCATAACACTGTTGCCTTCTTGATTTCATTTTATCACTAGTGATAAAGTGCCTTCATATAAGGGCTCTTCTGAACTTACTAGGTTTGCAGTGAAAAAAGTTATGGATCAAAATAGACTTGAATCTCAAATAAGCAGTTTTCAGTTTCTTACTACTGTGAAAATGGCGTAACCATTTTCAAGCAAACAGAATTCTAAATTAGCCCAAAATATCCACCATCTATTTACATCTTTTTAAAATCAGTAGAAAATAATTGTTTTATAAACCATTTAGTGAAAATCAAAACCCAACATCCTACCCCACCTTTTCAGAGCTGCACGTGCCATTAACTCACTATTTCCTCCTTTTTCCACTCAAGGCATTCACAAAACTGAATCCTGTCATGTTTCCTATGAAAACAATTATCCCCAGCAAAGAATGGCTGTGGTTATTGATGGGAGACATGACCAGTTGAGGGGGATACAGGGGGAAAAAACCTCACCAGTTATATTGGTGTGTATGCTGGAGTTAGAGTAGATGTGTACCACACTTCAGATATCAAAACCTAAGAATATAAGAATGGAAGGAGAAAATGGGATATAGAAGGTAAAAGGACTGAAGGAAAAAGACAAAACTAACAGAGTGGACAGTTTGAGGCCTACCTTACCTGTTACGTCAAATGTTGTTTCATTCATCCAAGTGCTGACATCATTTGAAGAGGTATTGGATTGCAGTTGTGTTCTTGCAAATTCAGGGGGGAAAAGTTAAAATGTACACTAATTCTGTATATATTTAAAAAATCAAATGTATCCATGTATGATTTTTAGAAAATTTAAGGTTTCTGCATTCTTGTACCTCTTCAGAGTTGAAATGTCAGTGAAGAATAAACTTGCAATAAATTAAGCAAATTACTTTTCTTTACATGAATTCTTTTGTATATATTTCTATGGATAGGTATCCATTTACATAATGTTTTGTGCTACCTATACACAGCAAAATGCATTTGATTTCAGTGAGATTTGTCCATTAGCATATGGTACATCTTTGAGCTATTGAAATTGTCAATTTCATCCTACAGATACCTTTTACAAGCACTACATTCACTCATAAAAATAAAAATCAATTTCATGCTCTGTGTTAAAATGTGGATGACAAACATCATAGTATTGCTGTACTTTGCTTACTAAATTCATAGTTTTACATTCCACAGGAAGAAGAGCTTTTCCCATTTAACTTGGATGAGTTTGTTACTGTGGATGAGGTGGTAGAAGAGACAGACTCTCCTGTTCCAGTCAGGCGAAATCCACCACGGGGAAAGAGAAAAGACTCTGCTAAAAACAGCTCTACCTTTGAGCCTGTTTCGAAGAGGAAGAAAGGTAAAAGCTGCATAGAACATGTTGCTGAGAGCGAATTATCCTTTGTCACTTTGGATGAGATTGGAGAAGAGGAGGAGGCGACTGCACTGGTGCTAGGAGACTCTAATTTAGAAGCAATAACAGACCCACAGGGTCTAGTTACCGTGGATGAAGTAAATGAAGAGGAGCTGATTGCAGAAGCAGTTAAAGACCCACAATCGCTTGTTACTCTAGATGAAATATCTGAGCAGGAAGACTTTTTTTCACATGATGAACTTAAAGATGTCTCCAGCTCAATTTATGAGGAGCAAGATCTCCTGAAAGCAGAACCCTTAGTAACTGTGGATGAAATAGGAGAAGTTGAAGAAATACCTTTAAATGAGCCTTCAGATTTGAATATTGAGGAGACCTTAAAACCTAAGGAAAGGGATGATAGAAGGTCTATTGAGGATCCTGGAGACTTTATTTCTTCTCAGCTGCCTGAAGACCCTAGTACTTTAGTGACAGTAGATGAAATACAGGAAGACGGTGATGATCAGCCTCTAGTAACGTTAGATGAAGTTACTGAAGATGACGAAGACTTTTTGGCCGATTTCAACCGTTTAAAAGAGGAATTGAACTTCGTCACGGTAGATGAAGTTGGGGAGGAGGATGAAGAGGAAGAAGAAAATACTTTCATAGTCACAAATCTGGAGGAGGAAGATATTGTTGCAATTGCAGGCCCAGAAGAAGAGGATATTGTTGCAGTTGCAGGACCAGAAGAAATGGAAATTCTGGCAGATACAGGGCCAGAAGAGGAGGAGGATATTGAAAACTCAAGATCAGAAGAAAAGAAGACTCTTGAAGCTAACACAAAGGAAGTAGAAAATGAGACTCTGGTAGCAGACACACAGGAGACAGATAGAGGGGCACTTGCCACTCATACAGAGAAGACAGAAACAACTGAAATTTTGAACAAAACAAGTGAAACAGAGATCAGAGGAGAAACTGAAATTGATCAGTCTGCAGGTAGGAACTGATACAGTTTACAGATGCATTTTAAAATATGTTCATAAAGAATATGAGGGACATGTAAAACTGTGGTCATAAGGCACTTACTAGTAGCCAGTATCTGTTTGGGCAGATAACTGGATATTGTATCAGTGAAAGGAAGAAACAAACTATCTAAAAGTGTAGATATTAAATATAATCTTTAATTACAGAGCTAAGCCTGAGAAAAGCACATGAAATGGAGACACAAACTAAGAACAAGCAGCAGCCTCCAGGTAGGAAGTAGAGCCAGAAATGGACAGAAGCATTTGTAATCAAGTTCAGACCAAAAAAAGGGCAAGAGCTGAGCAGGGAGATCTTTATAAAATGTAAATAAAGTTGCAAGGAAAATGAATGGTTCATACCAGTGCTAATGCATATTGTCAGTCAAGTACTGCTGAGTTTTCTCTCAAATCAGTGCTGATACATTTGATACTGATGCTTCATCTTGGATTTATTTTCTCCACTTCTGGCCTGAAGTTAGGATAGAAATATGGATGTCCAGAGCGGAAGGATCTATGGATTAAACCCTGATTGTACTTGGTCTATGTGCAGTTAATAGTCCTCTGGACATATACTTAGGCTGACCATCTGTCCTGGAAAATCCGTGACAGTCCCAATTTTTAATCTCCTATCTCAGTGTCCCTGTGAAGCATTGAAATGTCCCAAGACTCTACATGCAGCTGTGCATGGCTGTTTCCCTTCCCCCTCCCTCGCTAGGGGAATAGGAGTCATGGACACTTCCTGCTCAATAGGAGCAGCCAGAGGCAGTGCCTGTTGGGACCACCGGTAAACAAGTGATTTGCAAGGGGTTAGCACCAGGAAGCCAGGCACGGGGCTCAGCTGGGCTGCGGGGGAGGCACTGGGAACCCAGGCGCAGGGCTCAGTTGGGCAGTAAGGGTAGGTGCAAGGAACTGATGCGGGGGGGGGGGGGGGCGGAGGGGGGGGGGGGGGGGGCAGCAGCAGGGAGCCTGAAATGACATTCCCTGGTCTGGAAAAATCCCTTACCTGGGACTAGTCAGGTCCTGAGGGTGCCAGACCAGGGAGGTGTAATCCCTATCCCAAGTTCCTCCTGCACCTTCCCTCCTGGCCAGACACCCCTACCCCAACCTGCTCCTGTATTCACCGTTGCTCCTGCATCCTCCCTCCTGACCACACACTGCACCCCTCCCTGCTCCTTCCCCACGGTCAGACACCCTACTCCCAGACTGCTTCTGCACCTAACCTCCCTCCCAGATCCTGCTCCCCCATCCCTATCCCATTCACTGGGAACTCTGTCCCACACACTGAACCTCATTTTTGTTTTCACCTCTGAACCTAAGGGTGTCCATAACATTCACCAGAAAAACAAATCTGGCCTATGGGAAGCCCTGAACCTCAGTCGTCCTTCCCCTTGCCCTGTGGAGCACCTGAGGGGTGAGGTGTCTGAGTTGGGGGCCACCCAGTGAGATTTGGGGGTTTGGGGAGAAGTTTTTTTGTTTTTCACTTGCGTGGTCCCCACCTGATTTTTCTGTGGGTCAGTGGCCCTCAACCCAAAGAAGTTTGCCTACTTCTGCCATAAAGAAAACATTGAAAGCTTTCTTGTTGGACATAAATGAATATTTTACTTAGTTTATCAAACTTCATTTTAAATAAACAGTTAAAACGCTTAATCTGTTTAATAATTTACCATTCTCACTAGCTGCAGCACTAGCAAAATGGTTCAGGCATAATTATGTAATTAATGGTGAGTTTCCATTATCAATGGGGGCGGTCCAGGGAAAGATTTACAGTGAGCCAGAGAGGCCATGGGCCAAAAAATTCGAGAACCACTGAAACAGAGGCACCCCTGACCTCTTCCCCTCTCGAGAGACCACTGCAGGCTCCCTGCTGCCCCACAAGAGCCCACCGAGAGATTGGATCTGTTACCACAGCAGTGAAATCACCATGGCTACGACTGGACTATGGAGTTTTTCCATGGGACACATCT